CGTAGGTTTGCCATTGCCTGCCGGGGGGTGACCGCTGTTAAGAAAAAACCTTTTTTCTATATTTTTTTCCGATGTTGCTTTGACTAGGGTAGGGATGGGTAATGGGGGTTGAAATTCGATTTTTCCCGAATTTCGAACATTGCCCAACCATTCGATTATTCGATTCGAAATTTGGTAGTGCAAATTCTATTTTATTTTTTCGAATTAAAATAAAAATACGGAAAATTTAAAAGCTGAACTTATATTAATGTGATTAACTATCGATATCGCCTTTCTTAGCTTCACAACCAAAAATAAATACAAATAAGTATTGTTTTTTTTTTTCAAATAAATCTCTCAAAAAAATATCAAAAAAATCAAAAAATTTTGCAAGTGCAGCATTTTGAAACAAATTTTTTGGGACGTATAACTTGAATTTCATTTTTCCTAATAAACGATCGTAGTACAAAGCTCAATATCACTGTTGAAAAAAAAACGAGTTTATTTATTTTTCTTGCTTTACAAAGACAAAAGAAATTTCCACATATTTCATGATACATAGGTTGGGTTAGGTTGAAGTGGCTGCTAGGCCCAGAGGGCGCCAGCACACTTAGGCCCGATCAGGGCCCATTGTGATACCACATGGATCCAAAGAAAACCCCTATTCCTTAAACCAGTTTGTGGAGTCTACAAACCTTAGCAACTGCCGTATTCCAAACTTAGCAGTCGCGCTTAGATCATCTAGAAGACCTATACCTGCCTTATTGAGTCAGGCTGTTCTTCGTCGTGGCAGCTCCTGCAGTAGTCGTTGTGACTAACCCCGAGGCATTCTGCGGGCCTTCCTATCAGAATATGTCCTGTGAGCACACCAATGGCCAGTGACATATCGCCTTTATTGAGAGTGAGAATTTCTCTCGATCTCCGTACATCCCATTTTGGCCATGTAAGCTTCGTTGTATTACAGTTTTCAGTGCGCTCCCATCTGGAGGCCGCTTCTTCAAGGAAGTTCTCCCTTAGTAAGAGCTTGCAGGAAGCGAGTGGCATACCCACTATCTTCCAGGCTGGTGAAAGTGGAGAGCAAGTACCCGCCCTTGCAAGCTCGTCTGCCTTCTCATTTCCTGGTATGTCACTGTGCCCCGGTACCCATACCAGGTGCAAAGCGAACTGCTCTACCATCACGTTAAGTGATTTGCGGCAGTTGGCAACTGTTTCCGAATTTATAGTGACAGAGTCAAGCGCCATAAGG